CCTGCTCCTCAGATGCCGCCTGACCTGCTGTGTTCCTCCAGCTCCACGCTGTGTTATTTCCTGCTCCTCAGATGCCACCTGACCTGCTGTGTTCCTCCAGCTCCGTTCTGTATTGACTCTGACTCCAGCATCTGCTGTTCTTGCTATCCCCTTGTGGGCTGCACCATTGAGATCCTCCTCTGTTCCACTTCATCCTCCAGTGAGCCTCAGCACAAACCATTCTTTGCCCCTAGGCCTGGCTGTAATTCTGTTCATGTCCGGTGACTCACCACGTGCTGATTCCAACTCTATACACATCTCTAAGTATGTACAGTGCCAGTGTCTGAGCTAGTGGCTGTGAGCATCATATGAATGTGACAGGAGCAAGCCATCGGTGTAATTCTGTTGTTCTTCCTCTGTTCCTCTTCGAGTTCCTGCAACTGTGCTGGCGTCAATTCTTCAGGAACTTGGAGGGCAGGGTTGGTCTAACTGGGAGTGGAATATTTCAGCTCCATGGAGGACAAGCAAGAAGGCAACAGGCCTGGAAATCAGATGCAGGAAATCAGAAACAAAAACAGAAATTGCTGGAAAAATCTCTGGCAGCCTCTGTGGAGAGAACGTTTCGGGTCGAGTGACCCTTCTTCAGAACACGTTCTCCAGTTCTGAAGACACTTGATTTTGATTTTATTGTCACATATGTTTTACAGTAAGAATGCAATAAAGTACATTAAATGCTTTTATGAGTTGCCAAGAAATGGCACCATTTTGAATAATTTAAGAATAAGGAAATAAATAGCTTGAAGAGAGTCAGCTCATCACTGTCAATGGCACCTACACCACCATCACTTCACCACCGCGTCGCTGCTCGTCTACACTGGACGTAACCAACATCGAAGTCACCGATTCTCAGGAGCCATCTTTACCACGATGGCAATACTCCTCCACCATCGCCTCACTGTTGCCTTTGCCAGACCAACCAACGTCAGAGTCATGTCCCTGGCCACTAGGCCCACCTCATCGATGTTGCTGTGATGCCCTTCTGCCACCACTTCTCCACCTCAGGCCTACCTCATTATTGTCACCTCTGCCAATGTAGCAGCTGCTGATTCCACGTCCTGTGCTTGCTCCAGAAAAGTAGGTAGGGGCTAACTCTTCTTCATGCTAGGCCTACTCAAGGTCCGTACCCTGGGCCCAGCTCGAGACCGCTCGAGGTCCACACACCCTGGATCTGCTTGAGGTCCGCATGCTGGGCTCTTACTGCCAACCATGCTCAGGACAAGTTAAGTAAGTAAAAAAAAAACTAAGAGAAGGAAAAAAAGAAAAGAAAAGCAGTCAGAGTGGATGAGTTCCAGCATGGGAGCCCTACTTCACCACCATCTTAGACCGAAGAAGGGTCACTAGACCCTAAATATTAGCTCTGCTTTCTCTCCACAGGTCTGAAAAATAGATGCATTGGCACTGACATAGATACCCCGTGTCTTAATGCCTCAGCTCAAGTAAGTTATAACCCTTCACAACCTGCATCCACTGAAGACCCTTAAATTACGGAATAAATGGATCAATGAATGATTATCAGAACAGTACAGAAGGGAGTCGAGTTTGTTTTTATTAATTTCTTCAATTTTATATTCATCAAGAAGCTTTTACAGTATGTCTTTATGTTTCTTGTTACTTTACTCTCATCTCTTTCCTCTCTTTAACGTGTTCTTAGTCACAATTTGCTGGGTTTTAAAATACTCTCAATAATTCAACTACACAATACCAGATGTGAAATAAACTTTCCCTGAGTTGGTCACTCAGCATACTGATATAGATATTATGTGGGGGTAGAGGGGGGAGGGGGCTGATGACCTAGTAGCATTATCACTGGACTGTTAATCCAAAGACCCAGGTAATGTTCTGGGGACCCAGGTTCAAATCCTTTCATCGCAGATGGTGGAATTCGAATTCAATTTTTAAAAATTTGAATTAAGAGTCTAATGATGACCATGAATCCATTACCAATTGTCAGGAAAAACCCATCTGATTCCCTCATATCCTTTAGGGAAAGAAACTGCCATCCTTACCTGGTCTGGCCTACATGTGACTCCAGAACCACAGCAATGTGGTTGACTCTTAACTATCGATGGGCAATTAGGGATGGGCAATAAATGCTGCCTAGCCAGTGACACCCTCATCCCGGGAATGAATAAAGAAAACATACTTCATTAACCTGGCCTCTATCCTGCTGTTATACATTTGGGTTTTTCCAAACTATATTAGTTACCAAGCATCAATATCATCCTTGTCTGATATGTATCTATACCTTGCCCAATTACTGTCAGAGGACCCCTTGTTGTTTCATAAACACCCAAGTTAATTCTACATCTTGACTTTTGAACTACAGACAGTGTTGCGAATGGGTTTGGTTCTGGAGTCCATATGCATGTCCATTTGTATGCAAGTTGGAACATAATGCAGAACAATATAAAAGAGCTGTTCCTAGGTACAGGAAAAGCTTGTATGTCACACCTTTAAAATTACATCTCAGTACGAGATCATGTTCATTAAGTACTGCATTCATAAGTAGGATGCTCGTAAGTTGGGGATCCTCTGCAATATCCTTTCCTCCTACAGTCTTTGTC